TTTTGGAGTTACTAATAATAGAGAGAACCAACAATTTTCTTGGTTACTTCCACGAAGATTTATTAACTCTACTTAAAAGTGTAGTGAAGCCTTGATAACACATTTTTCTATCAATAAATTTCTGAAACGGTAGTATTAAATTCTGTGATGAATAAATCTCTCTTCCAAACCAGTTTTGAGCATCTCTAGAACATATTGTATTCTTTTACCCAAATATTTAAAGAAATCAAGTGATATGATTTGCTTCTACACTCTCACATCTTAGACTTCTTTGATCTTCATTTTGTAAATAAAACAGCAGCTTTCGCTCTTAGAATACTTTCACAATAATCCCTTTATATATTTAGTGTAAACTGTAATAACAGTTTAAACTTTTTCAAGAGTGAAGGTGCTCAGAGTTCAAATTATATGAAAAAAAATGTTTTATTAGAAATTTCAGCTAAATCTTTAATTCATATAAAAACAAAAGGTCTCCACATTATCAAATCTTGCTTGTAGCAACTTTTGGTGGTAAAACAATCAACTCTAACATGTTCACAGTATTTGAGTGAACAAACAGATAAATAAAAATGTCCACAGTATGATGCCATCATAAGATGTAACTACTTGATGGCAAAGTTTCAATAATAATCAGGCTCTATTTTTGATGCTGCTTAGTGTAAAAAATATCTTTGACTGAAGTATGTATGGCTTATGGATAAAAATGTTAGCAATTACACTCAAGTTGGTTAAGTCAAAACTTAATATTTAGGAAATATTACGCCTGTGTTTTAAGACCACAAAAATTAAAATACACATACCTGCTGTCAGTTTGAATTCGATTGGTTTCTAAACTTCAGAGTGATGAAATTAGATCATCATTAATACTTCCTGGTTTGGAAAAATATTATCTTTTGTGAAAATTAAAGCAAAATAAAACAATCCTTAATCGATGCAAAAAAACAATAAAAGACAATAAGAGTGCGTAAAAGACAGCACTTTTAGTGGAAGTCTATCTGTAAGAACTCTATGAATGATTCCAGACTGAGAAAATATAGTATTATATATATGAAACTATTTAACACAAAAATACGATACCTTATAACCCGAATGATTACGAAAGGTGTATATTTCTTTTTCAGGAACAAACTAGTTTGTGTGACGACCTTCACATTTTATGCAAAGGATCGTTGATGTACTTTTCAAGGCATTTAAAGAATCGACGACGGGTCACTAACATTTCACATTCGTAAAGAAGTTTTGGGATAATGGCTACTTTGTAAACCTGAATCTTGGTGTTCTTGCAGCGGCCACGATCAGTGAAAACACACCAAAGCAGTTTCTTAAAAGAGACATGTGCACATTAGATTCTGTGTTGAATCTCCATGTTGATGTCTGCACTTTGAGAGAGGTAGCATCCAAGGTAAGGAAAGTGCTCAACTACCTCCAGCATCTCTCTTTTGATGGTTATTTGTGGAGAGTCGTATTTGTGGCCTGGGGCAGGCTAACAGAGCACCTTACTTTTTTGGATGTTGAGGAAGAGGCCTAAGGTTTGGTAAGCTTCTGCAAAGAGATCCAGCATAGTCTGAAGGTCTCCCTCAGAAGTTGCAGGGATGGCACTGGTGTCTGCATATTGAAGGTCAAGAATGGATGTTTTGTATGTTGGAGCAGAGATAACTCTGATTAATGAGCCACTCTATCCATGCAATAATCAGAATTGATTCTCGGAAATAGAGAAGTGAGTTGTAACAATAATAAAATATTTCTTCTCCCCAGTTTTAATGGCAGCGGATTCAGTCTTGGATCCATTACAGAAAACTGTCATAGGCATCTGATCGTAGAGAAGCCTCAGTACCTTGATGTATTTTTCAGGGCAACCAAATCTGGCCAACATCTTCCAAAAGGCTACACGATTGACAGAATTAAAGGTCTTAGTGAACTCAATGAAAGCCATGTGTGGGTCCTGGTGCTGTTTCAACCTTTTTCTTGCGTCTGACGAGAAACAAAGATCACATTAATTTCCCATGGGATGGTCTGAAACTACATTGAGATTTCGGGAGGATATTCTCAACAAGAAGAAAAAGGTGATTCAGGTGTGATGAAGAGGAGAGCGATACGTTCATAAGTCCCACAAAATGATCTGTATCCTCTCTTGAAACTATTAATTATGTTAGCATGTCACATGTCCTCTTAAATCTGTCCTTTGTTTCAAATTTCAAGAAAAATATATCAGTATCTGTTCATTAGCACCAGCCTTGAATATTTCAGCCGGAATGCCATCTGATTCTGTAGACTTGTTGTTCTTAGATTTCATAACGGCGCACAAAACTTCTTCCAGGGTAGGAGGGTTGGCAAGGAATCTTTATTCACGGAGTTGAGGGATGGCGTTGATGGTGGCATCTGTCACAGTTGACTTACAGTTTAGGAGTATCTCGAAGTTCTCTTTCCATTTATCTTGGGTTGTTTTACTATCTTCCAGGAGTTTCAAGCCATCTTGTGCCTGCAGGGGAGTGGGGCCGTTAGAAGCTGAGCCAAAAATGATTTTTACTGCTTCGACGAAACTATGCATTGTATTGGTTATCAGTATTGTGCTGGGTCTTCTTTGATTGGTTTTTCCACCTCTGATTTCCCGAATTCTCCTTTGAGCTTTGGCTTTAGGGTTTCGATCTATATCCTTCTTCTGCTTAGATGAAGTTTCATTTAGCTAAGTGTAGTAAGCTCTTCTCTTTTGGGCAAGTAGGGCTTGAATCTCTACATCATTTTCATCATATCAATATTGGTGTCAGTGGGTGGAATAGCTGATGTTTGTACCATTTCCAGAGATATTCAATGTTGCCTCCAGTTGTAGGCAGGGCAGAAAGTTTATCATGAAAATGTTGTTAGAGACTCTCACATGTCTTCATATTTTGAAGAGACTTTATGTTGAAAGTTCTTCCCATTGCACTTGGATGCTTCTGATATTTTGGAGCAAGATAAGTGTTTAGGATGGATCTAACAAAGCGATCATCATCCAACAATCACCAGTTCCTTGCATGGAACGTAATTCCAATCACAGGCCTTAATGATGAAATAACCTAGAAGGTTCCAATGTTTAGAATGAGGGTGTCTCCAGCTAGTTTTGTATTTATTTCTCTGTCTAAAAATAGTGTTCGTGATGACAATATGATGCTCAGCACACCTACTATGGAATAGAATGCCATTGGAGTTGGCTTTCCCCACTCTTTCCTTCCCAGTGGTGCCACTCCAATGTTTCTGGTCATACCCATTAAAGTCACCAAGGAGAAATAATATTGTCCTCTTTGGGAATGTTAATTAGGATATAATCAATATAATTTTCAGGTATACAACTTATTATAGTTTCACTGTAGAATTTTGGTCAAAGAAGTGGCTAAGATCCTTTCACCCTAGCCGCCTATTGTTCTGGATCATTCACCTATCATATCATATGCACCTTCTACTTCTCACAGTAAAAATTTCTGTAAAGTCAAAAATACTAGGGTGAAAGTAGACAGTGGTCTCTTGCAGTAGTGAGTCAGATAATATGTTAAGAATACCACCTCCATTAATTGTTTGATGGGAATAGCTAACACTAACACGGAAGCACTTCGTCCTGTGAATATTAGCATCATTCTCCGTGTATGTAAATCTTTTTTCCTAGTATGAAATAAATCTTTACACACCTACACAGATCTTCTTATTCATTGAAATCTCTCAAACCTTTAGTAAATGTGCCATAACTTCACCCATTTTGTCTTTTGATTGTGTTTGGCATTCAATAAATATAATTTCACTCTGTTGTACACTGTGTACAGTCTCTTTCGTTGTAAAACTCAGACAAAAGTCAGACTTAGTCCATGTTACATTTCATGGCTGAAACCTTCAGTTATTCTGTAGATCGAACCTGATTGTCTTTTTACTTGATGATCTCATAGTAAAACAGAACCATGAAAGTGTGCTTCATTTCTACAGTTAACCCTAGTTTATTTTCTAGTTGACAGTGTCATCTCATGACCTTCGTTCTTTCACAGCATTGGTTGGCTGTAACATACAGACGTCGTCAATTCGGCCAACAATAATATTACAGTCGCTGATCAATTCAGCACTGATGCTATTTTACTAAAATATCCCCTCGAGCAGAATAGACATTATATATTATATAGAACAAAGAAACAAAGTAACTAGAACAAGGCAGATTCGGTGATTTTCTGGACCACATGGTTATCCTAAAACAGCATAGAAACTGACTAAATGTAAAATTTTCAAAAGTTCTATATTACTAAAGCACGTTGAAAACATAATATGCTTATACAAATATTGCATAAAACCCTCAAGCTTATCACTAAGACACCGGGGCATTTTGCGGAGAAAGTTCATTGTGTGACCTACTGTTGAATCTTTAGCTCCTGGCTTATTAAGCCGGTGCAATTCTTATTCTACACAAGTTGGAGTAAAATCATAGTCGTCGTACAAACAGATTGTGGGTGCAATCCTATCTGGAAACTCACAATTAGGCAGTAAAGATTGTAACTTAGACAAATATATCGATCTCATTATGATGAATATTCGTATTTTATTTTTTCCTTACTCTAGTGTAGCCCAAGAGTTGGCGGTGGGTGGTGATGACTAGCTGCCTTCCCTCTAGTCTTACACTGCTAAATTAGGGACGGCTAGCGCAGATAGCCCTTGTGTAGCTTTGCGCGAAATTCAAAAACAAACAAACTTACTCTAGTTTCCTGTGTATATATAATGTAGATCAATATATGTGTATTGTTTGTTTTAAGATAATTTTCACATAACCTAAAGGATATATGAATCTTTGTTGATAATCACGTGAAGATTAAATTGCAAGTAAATGGAACAATACTTGCAAATACGTTTTCGTCACTGTACTACTAAAAAAAAGTGGTTGCACTTTTAAAGTTGTATTATGTAAAGGCCATTGTTACATCATAGAAAAGCAATAAATGAAAATAAAAAATCCATTTCCTCTTACTCGAAAGAGGGCGCAGCGTTGTTATTGATCAAAGATCAACTAAACTGAGCGAGATAAGTTAAAGTGTAGTGCTTATACTTTATTTTTAAAGTGTTATAACATTAACACAAGAAACAGTCATATAAAGCCACATACATGATAAACTGATACGTATAATCTGAAACATAGGTCAAGAAGCACGTTCATACAAGATAAAAGTATAGAGGTCGTCTTTAGATGTATCATGTAGTGTTACTGTTACTATATTAGTATTAGCACTACTTTTACTTTGTCACGTTTGTGCATTTCTGCCGCTGCTGAATTTTTGCTGCAGTTTATTTTTACTACTTGCTAGTTAGTGTTAAGATTGAATAATGGCAAGATCAGAATCTATTCGACGAAGTTTGAGATTTTTCACAGCAAATTCTGGAAAAGTTAGATACTGGTGTCTGAAAAAAGCAGTTGACCCTTCTAAAGTTTTCACCATTTCAACTTCAGACAAGTGTACTATAAACAGTATTAGATGTTTTTCGAGATCTGTCTCAATTTCCAGTAGTAATAGCAGTATTACTGCAACAGCAGACCATGCGAATTTTGATTTTTTTAGACAGGAGCATACAGAATTGAGAAATACTCTGAAAAAGGTAGGTGCATGAAAATATTTGCAGATTATACTGTGAACGACTGTGATATTTATTTAATTCTGATCGAAAGGGATAGACTAGTAGTAGTAACAGTAATATTTAAAATTACAAGATCTCATTCTCACTGAATTATAATTTATATTATCAATATCAGTACGTCAGTAATTGCTACAGCACTGGTAAACCTAGTCTAACAATTACTGAATTAGACCATGACACAGTGTGCAGTACTTTAGTTACTACTTATGGTCTAATGAAAACCTTGAAATTTATTGTTCCAGAATTTTACTACTGTATGAGAATGTAAGGTATGGCCTCTTGGGGCATTAGGAAATTGTGTGTTATTTGTTGATGTGTGAATGATTTGTAGACCACCAGATCAAACTAATGAGAAACCTTGCATTGAGATTAATAATTCAGCTGTTAATAATTATTATGGGATATTTTAGTTTCACCCATATAGTTTGGAGACAGGTTTTAGAAACTGTTAAGGAAGGTTTTCTTCACCATTTGGTCAAGGAACTGCTGTAATTGTAAACAGTCCTATTTTAGATTAATTTTTACTTCTTCTAAATTATAGACAAACAAATGGTGGTTAAATGTAAAAAACCAGGTTGATTCATGAAGAGTATAAAAATAAAATTAAAGAAAAGCATTATAAATTTAGATTAAGCTTGAATGTTTTGACAGGAGACTTAGAGGATTATAGAAGATCAAGAGTCAGTCAAGCATGACATTATTAAATCAAAATAGGTATATGAAAAAAAAATGTGGTTTATTATGTAAAAATTAATAGTAAGGATTTCTTAAAATACATTAAGGGTAAGCAACATAACATAAAATTTAAGAATAGCAAGGGACCTGTTCCATTCTTATCATTCAAATATTTCTCAGGCCTTCCCTTAAACTCCTTTAAATTCACTGCATACACCAATCTGAAAGCTATCTATTCCAAAAGCCAATTGCCATTTTAGAAAAATATAGCTGAAAATGATTCATACCCTGCCAAATGTATATTTCTGTCCTCTGGTCCTACCATTCTCACCATCAAGTACAAAAAATAATTCTTGAATGCTATCAATTCCTTTACAGTCTTAAACACCTCAGTCAGATCCTCTCTAACTACTTTTTTTAAATAAAATATTTCAGAGATTTTCCCCTGTCCTCATATGACAGCCTTTCCATCCAAGTTATCATCCTAGTAGCACTCAATTGAGCCCTTTCCAACAATTCAATTTCTTTACTAATACTAAGGTAAGGAGCCCAAGACTAAACAAAATACTTCCAATGTGGTCTAACCAATGATGTATACAATTAAATTATAACCTCTTTTAGATTTGTATTCAATATTTCTATAGGTACAACCTAAAATCCTATTTGCCTCGCCACTAAAAACAGCACACTGCTTGGATGACTTTAGAGTTTGATCAACCAGAACACCAAGATCCTTTTCTTACATAAGACTGTTACAGCTATTCTCATCAAAATCATACTTGTAATTCAAATTATGATAACCCACAAGCATTACTTTGCATTTATTATAATTAAAAGTCATCTGCCATTTATTTGTCCAACTCACCAAATAATTAAATTATTTTGTAAAACAGCAGCATCCTCTTCATAGCAAGCAACACCAAAGACTTTAATATCATCAGAAAATATAACTAATTTATTGACCATTCCTACATTTCTGTTATTGATATAAATCAAAAAAGAACAAAGGTCCTAACACTAAGCTCTGAGATACCCCACTTCTGACATTAATTCAATTTGACTGAACTCCATTCATGATACTATATATATATATATATATATATATATATATTAATATCCCTCTGCTTTCTTCTATTTGACCATTTTATGCCTAATGAGCCAACTTATCCCCCACAACTTCAGAAATAAGTATTTTAACAAGCCTTTTATGTGGCATCCAGTCAAATGCTTTCTATTATGATGACAGTTGAACCTTTGAGGGATGGTAAAGGAAATCTCATTTCTGATGATTATGAGTTACCTGTATTACTAAGTTTTACTATTTTTTCAATTTTTACTGATGAAAATACAAACAAAGGATTAGATATGTGAGCTAATTGCTAATATCTTTTGTGTGTCCTTCAATTATAGGCAGATGCCAGAAGTTTGGAAATTGGCTATTATTTCTCTTATTTTCAAGGGAAGTGATAAAATTTGTCTAGGTAATTATAGACCTATTATTTCAACATCCGTAGTGGAAAATGTTTATGAAAGTGTTAAATGCCATTTAACAAAGTTTAAAATTTTGTTAGATAGTTAGCATGGTTTCACTATGGGAAAGTCATGCTTTAGTAGTCTTTTGACATTTTTTTAACAGGTTACTTTTTATATAGATGATGGTAAGGGTGTGGATTTGGTGTATCTGGATTTTCAGAAAGCATTTGACAAGCTGTTTGAAAAAGACCTGTTAAAACAATATCTCTGTAGGTATGGGGGATATGTTGGCTTGTTGGATAGAAAATGGCTGGATGGAAGAAAGTGGGGGTTGTTATAAATTTAGTTCTGCCAAGCTGAATTAATATAACAAGTAGGGTAATTCTGGGCTCAATGTTAAGACTTTTGCTGTTTCTAATTTACATCAATGACATATATATGAAGGAATGGTAAATAAATAACTTAAATTTGCTGATATTAAAGACTTGGGTGTTCTTGGCCGTGAGGAGGATACTGCTGCATTACAAAAAATTTTACATTATTTGATGAGTTGGAGAGACAGATGGCAGATTGCTTTTAATCATAATAAATTTAAGATAATGCATGTACATTATCGTAATTTAAATAATAAGTTGGAGTAACCCTAACAATTACCTAAAGTGAGCAATACAGCAGCACAAAATGAATATCACCTACAGTTTCATAAATCAAAGAAAGCCAAAAGAGATCTTGGAAAAGAACCTGATGGCAATGCTATGTCTTTTTGGCTTTGGGTTAGATCACAAGAGTATAATGATCAGCTGAGTGAAACTCAAGAGATATTACAGCAACCTGCCATCCACATTGACTAAGATTCGCAAGAATGGTGGAATATATGTGAGGATTCTTATCTGGTGGTGGCAAAATTAGTGCAAAGATTTATGTGCATTCCCGCCACTTCAGTTTCATCACGGCTCACCTTTTCTGCTGCTGGTTTGTTGGTTGGAAAACTATGGCCAAGGCTACATACAGACAGTATAAATATGTTGATATTTCTGAAGAAAAACCTGTAACCTCTCCAGGTAAGGTGTATGTTTTGTTTGCCTCGATGTTGTACTGTCACTTTTTTTTTTCCCTACCAGTATGTATACTGATACATACTACCCAATTTTAACAGTCTGTTTTGATCTTAGTTGTGTTTTATATGTAAGGTGAAGAAATATTTGATAGTTTTGGATATGACTGTATATCTTATGAAATTATATAATTGATCTTTTTTTTTTGCTGTTCTTTTTTCAGTTTGAACTTTATTGAAGAAAATAACAATTTAGTTTGTAAATGCTGTTATAGGACCAATACTCACAAAAAGTTTACTATATTAAAAAAAAAGAAAGAAGATGCTTATATTTTAATTTTTTGATAATTTTTTTTTCAGACATGTACAAGTACTTTTTGTTTTAAAATGCATTATTAATCCTACAACTTTCAAGTCTTTATTTGAGTTAATATGATACAAATTACTTGGAATAAAATATGTTTGGTGTGAATGTAACTAATTTTTTTATATATAGTAAATTTGAAAGGTTAGCGTTTTAGATCATAGAAGCATCTAAACCAAAAGCATAATATTTCTGTAATAATGCAATTAATGCTTTTCTTTTATCTTACCCAGTGCTATTATTTTTTGAATGTTGCTTTACTATTTCTGTACAGTTATCTATACAGCAATTAGTAAAAAGCTATTTTTAAAAATATCACTTTATAATTTGGGTGGGTATGTATGATGAAGTTTAAATAGTTTTTTAAAAATGTTTATACATTTACTAAATCTAACGTACCTAATTGAATAAATTTATTAGCAAGTTCCACTAATTGTCCAGCTGTAATCTTGGGCTCTTTACCTTCGGAAGGACATTGAATTGTTGGAAAAGGTTCAAAGGAGTGCTGGCTAGTAGATGATACTAGGGATGGTAAGGTTGTCTTATGAGGACAGGTTAAGGTCTCTGAATTTTTTTTCTTGAAAAAATAAGATTCAGATATGATATCTTACCTCCTACCACAAAAAGCTTTTTTGATTTATACTGCCCCCTATTGGCATAAATTTTTGCTCGCCACTAGCCTTGATACTTCCACTTACCCTCACGTATCTTAATGTGAGATATTTGCATACTAACATGCAGATGATTATGCAGCAAACAATAGGAGTGTGACACTACACCTATCATAACTGGCGATCACTCTAATCTTGCAGCTGTTAACCGCTTCTCGAATGGCAGTTTTATTGAATAGACATGTTTTCACTCACAGATCGATTAACTTATCCACAAGTTTTTACTTTCTTAATTTTTCTATTTAAGTTCATTTGTTATTTACTGCTTTCATTCTTTTTCTTGGAGAGTTATGATTTATTTTATTTAACATCTCTCCTTTTTTTCATTGTTAGAATTATTCACTTGCAATTTCAAGTGGTCATGACTATAACTGCTGCTATTCCTGCAGCGGATTTACCGACCATGTAAACTGGGTTGGAACCCTTATTATTGGCTCAGGAGGTGACAGCTTAGAATGTCTGGAGTTAACCATTTTCATGCAACATTCAAAGCTAAAAGATGATTGTCCTTTCATTCCTGCTCAAGGTTTGAATGATTGGGAAGATGAGGATGTGGACAGCCTTTATCCTCTTCCTGAATATGCCTTTCAGTTGCGTATGATTTTGTAGGAATTGCCCAGACCTCCTTCCCATTTTGTGGAATTGATTAATCAGGTATGTTCTGTCTTTATCTCCTGTTTCCTATGGTTCCACCCCTTCCCTTATCAGGGAAGAGCCTGTGGGTCATTATTTAGTGCTTTCTCTTTCTCTGGATATTGGGATTCATGCAAGTCATTTTGGGGAGTAACTACGTTCTGAGGTTAATATGCCTTGACTCCATGTGCTATGGTTGATCATACTTTTGCTTACCATCATTCCAACCTCCACTATTTGGACTCGCAGCACTTGGAGCCGCTTCTCCCTTTGTGATGATACTTCGATTACTTTTTTCCAACCAGTTTTCTTATATTCATCTTATTCTTACCACCCTTCTCTATTCCTTATCCTCCCTTCACCTTTTTTCTGAGGCTGTTTGAAGTTCCCCTGAGAGGTTTTGAAATGATATTCAGAATCTCCTTTTTGTTACCATGGCACACCTTCCCTCTTCAGCCCTGGCATTAAAGATGTGGCTGCTCTGCTGTTTGGAGCTTCTCGGTTGAGATGCTATTTTATCTTGAGTTCTTTTACCTTCCACCTCATTACGTGACTTGCGTATGGCAGTTTTTTGTAATGATAGTTGTTGGGGGGTATCCTCAACTCATTCCTGCTTCATTCCAGAGGTCTTCGTTTCCACCATTATATGGATGACTGTCTGCTTCTTGTTTCTTCACAAGACAACTCTGCCCTACATAAGCAGTTGCTTCTCCAGGAAGCTACCTGGATGGGTTGGCTCGTCAAAGTGGAGAAGCCTTTCCTCACACCCACACAATATTTGGTTCATCCTAGTGTGTTTTTCAACTCCCTCCTCAGTCTAGCTTCTGTAGAAGCCCTCATTCCTCTTGATTGTGCCCACTTGCACTACCTTCAGTGGGTTTTGATAAACCAATGGAGCTTTGTGTATGTGTATGATTCAGAATTCCAATAATTCTCATTGAATGCTCAGGGGCAGGAATATTGGTAATATCTTCTCATACAAAAACACTTAAAAGCTCATCCATCTCATAATCTTCAACAAAAACTTGACTCTAAAGGCCCAATTACATTTTAGTACTTTGCCTACTTTTAACATCTTTAAAAAAGTCTTTACTGCTATAACATTATCAGCCAGCTTTTCTCATAAGCCATTTTGCATTTTTTAAATTGTATTTAATCGTATTCCCATCTTTCCTACAGTTCTATAAGTAAGCCGTCATTTTAAACATCTTAAAACTTATAGCATTTGTTCCAGATTTTCTCATTATGTTTTTAGTAAGTCAGTTAGGTTTTATCTTTACAGTTGTCCTTTTCCTTATTTTAGGAATTTGTCTATCTTGAATTAAAAGCAACCTTTCTAACATTTTTCTAAACTTATCCCACATCGTTTTTTGATCTAATCTGAGTTATCAGAATAATAAGATTTGTTGCCGATTTTATTAGATTTAATATCATAACGAAAAATTTTTATCCTAAAAAAAAGTTTGCTTATAAATTGAATGTTGATGTTACAATAATGCATGCATTGTTATAGGTTGAGAAAGGACTAGTTAATTGGATTGTAGGGTAGTTGGACAGCATAAATTAAAAGGTTGTTATTAATGGAATTCAGTCAAACTGCAACCTTGTTGCTCGTGGAGTAACTCAGGTGTCAGTGTTGAGCTTTTGTTCATTATTATTTATGTTAACAATATTGATATGGGCATATTCAGTAGATGACTTAAGTTTGCTGAAGACATTAAACTAAACCCTTAAGTGTTTGCTTTAGCCATCGATGAAGTGCTGTGTTGCTACTAGTAAAGCTAATGGAATTTTAGGATATATTTCTAGATACTAATAACAAATCAAAAGATATAATCATCTATACAAATCACTACTTGGCCTCATTTGGAATATTATATACAGTTCTGCTCTTATCTAAGAAGAGGACTGCTACTGCTAGGATGATTCCAGGGATTGAAAGGTTATCTTACAGATATAAGTTATGATCTAAAGTTTACAACATTATGTGGATGATTTATAGAATTATTCTGTGTTATATTCTGAAGATAGATAACGAGATGAGAGGAAACGTGCAAGATTTGGAAAATACAGGCTAGGCTTCAGTTAAGACAATTTTATTTTTCTAACAGGGTGACTGACTTTTGGAATAAATTAATCTTGGAAGAAATGGGTGACAGTTCTTTTACAGGAGTTTAAAAGGGGAATTGATGATATCCTGAAAAATAATAGATTGACTTACATTTTTACTTTTCTTAAGGGTGGGTGTGCAAAGACATCCTTAAAGGATCAAATGGTTCCTTGTTGTCAATAGGTCATGTTATATATATATGTGTGTATGTGTGTGCATTAAGTGACAAATTATATTAAATAATAGTTTATGTGTAAAGTATCACTTTATATTGTGCAAGGAAATTACTTTTATTTAAGAACAATTCTCTAATATGTTAACATATTTTAAGTTTTGATGAATTTGGTTTTGGGTGGATCAGTTTATGTAAATTAATTTAATTCTGATTTGGCTTTTATCTGAAAAAAATACAACAAAGTTATTCTCTTAAAAATGGGCTTAGCATGTTTGTTCTGTTTGAGTGTAAATGTGTATACAAAAATGAAAATTTTCGAAACTTAATTTTTTATAATGATTAACTTAATCACCAGATCATCGTTAAAGATATCAATCCTTTTGTTGATGAATGGGAGGCTGAAGGCCAATTTCCAGCTCATTCAGTGTTCAAGAAACTTGGTGAAGCTGGGCTTTTAGGAATCACTAGGCCACAAGGTAAAATATACAATCTATTATTTTTCGTACTTAAGAGTAGCCCAAGAATTGGCAGTGGGTGGTGATGACTAGCTGCCTTTCCTCTAGTCTTACACTGCTAAATTAGGGATGGCTAGTGCAGATAGCCCTCGTGTAGCTTTGCACGAAATTCAAAACACACAAACAAATAAACAATTTTTATCTTCCTATCTGAGAAAGGTTATGAACTTACCAGAAAGGGTTCAGAGGAGGGCAAATATGATTAGTGGTCTAGGGCCAACTAAATGCCTTTGGTTTTTTTCATAGAGAATAAAGTTTAAAAATCAGTATATTTGGGAAGAATTTGGTCTGATTATTTCCTATATTATTTAATAATCAGTGGAATAGTGCAAACTACACATTTTATTTATATGTATATATAACCAAAACATCAGTAAAGTTCACCCATGGATACAAATAAGAAAACACTGACATATCAGACTTTTTTTTTTTCCTTTTATTAATTTCTTCTGTTGGTTTTGTAACTTCAAAGGTCACTCTTCAGGAAGTAGTTTTACTGAGAACCTATAACAAAAAACATACAAAAATAATCTAAATTATAAACTTATACTTTCCAGTTGTATATATGTTTAATTTAGATTATTTACTATAAGATGACAAAGTTTATTAAGCATCTTTTTCTGTTTAGTTCTTATCACTAGATTATGCTTGATTATTATTTTTTGCTTTGCAGAGTATGGTGGACTAGGACTTGACTACACCTACACCTTGGCTTTCTTAGAAGAGCTAGGCACAATTAAGTGTGGAGGAATCCCAATGGCTATTTCAGTCCACACAGACATGGCGACTCCAGCCCTTGCCAAGTAAGCTGTTATGCTTTATCACAATCACTTCCTGCTTTGTTTTTAAAAGGAGACAGTTTCTGACTAGCATCATCTTTTCAACAGTCTGAAAAATACAAAGATATATCTAAACTTGTTGCGAGGCAAAATAATTATATGGTTAATGTTTCAGTAAAATGAACTTCATTGGAACCATGTGCAAAGCATCATTTTGTTTTTGGATTTTGTAAAAACTGTTCAGTTACATAGAACTTATAATTGTAAGTTTGAAGGCTTAAAATGATAGAAATCAGGGCTTAGTCCCCATGACAGACACAGAGAAGATAGCCCATTGACAGCTTTGCAGTAAAACCAAACAAGTTAAATAGTTTCCTCAAATCTTTAACACAGCATCATAGATAATTGTTCTAGTTAATAAAGAGTTAAGTTAATTTTTCTTACATTTTTTGAAACATGAACATTAATAGAATTTTTTTTTCAGTTTTGGAAGTGAAGAGTTAAAAAAAGAGTTTTTAGTGCCATCTATTGCTGGTGATCGTGTAGCCTGTCTTGGAGTTAGTGAAGTTGAAGGTGGCTCTGATGTGGCCAGTATGTCATTGCTTTATTTCTCAAATTTTGATATTATATTTTCTTTTCTTTTATTCATCTGTTAAGTTTGTGGCTTCCGTTACTGAATTAATGTTGTTTTGCCTGGTCTGTCATGAATGTGAATATTTTTAGAATAGCATCACAATGTAAACAGAAAGAATGACTACCTTTTAGTATTTTTTTCAGTAAAGAGAAAATTGATGAGAATCATTATAAATCAAATCATAAACTACTCAGATACCATAATTTTTTGTTTAAATATGTGGAATTTTTCACTAATAACTTTATGATTGTGTTAATTATATGCATATTTTATAAAGCTCTGATGAATTAACTTTATTTATACTTGCAATTCCTGATTCAGTATGGCTTGATGTATGAGACATCACAAAACTGTCATGATAATGCCAGTTTTATGAGCCTCCAATTGCTAAATATTAGGTCGTCAAGAAATTAATATAGCTTTTTATAGATGAAAAAAACCCAAACAACTTGTATATCAAAACAAAACTTATATTAAATGAAATAGTCTCCAATCTTATTGATGATGCTTTTTTCATCTTACAATCAGGTTGTTAATGCCCTGATTAAAGAAATCACTTGGCTTTGAAGCAAAAAAACATGTTGATGTCCTCTTTAATACATTTGCCTATGTTTTCCCATTAAGATGGTGTTGCAGTGAATGAAAAAGATGGTAATCTGATGGTGCCATATCCCAACCCAACTCCATAATCATGTGTTTCCACAAACGTGCCACCTGTGGATGTGCATTGTAGTGGAGAAGAAGAACACCTTTCTGATTGACGAGTGAAGGGCATTTCTGATGAAGGGCTTGATTTAAATGTTCTAGTTGCTGATTATAGGTCTCTGCATTGACAGTTTGCTGTGGATTGAGGAGTTCGAAATGAATTTCTCCTTTAATGTCTCACCAAATGTAAAGCATCACTTTCTGCAGATGGAGTCCAGGTTTTGGGTCAGAAGTGGTTTATGTCTAGGACTGAGCCATTGTTTTTAGCATTTAATATTCACATACAGAATCCATTTTTCATCACCAGTGACATTTCTGTCCAAAAATGGTTCATGAACATTATGTGGCAGATGAGACGAAGCAATGTTCACACATTGGAAACAATGATCATCAGAGAGTCGTGAGGCACCCAAACACCTTCTTCATGGAGTTTTCCTGTATTCCTTAGATGTTTATGTATTGTTTCATGAGAGATATGCAATTTCAGGGCCATTTCACAAGTGTGTTGCCTTGAGTTAGACTCAACAAGCATCTTCAGAGCATCAATATCAATTCCAACATGTTGGCCCCCTGCCATCACAGTTTTTAAGGCTAATGTCACCTGAACGAAACTTGCTGAACCATCGTTGACACTTACAAACATTCAAAACATTTCCATAAACTTCTTTGATATTCTTTGTGGCTACAGAGGCATTGTTTCCCTTGTTGTATTCAGACAGCATTGCATGCCAAATGTGTGTCTCATCATGTGCCATCACTATAAGATATTAGAGTAAACTAAACTTTACACATTATATAGGCTACACTAATGTGATGTTTAGGTGGTTCGTTTAACTATTATATGTGATGTACGTTTTTGGGGGGGTGGTTAATGAAAGTGTTCCAAAGCGCAACATTAATTTCTTGATGACCTAATAGTTTTTTAGTTGAATTGAATACTAGATGACAATTCCAGGGGTTGCAGAAAATGGAGGTGTACTCCTTTACTGATGTACAAATGGCTTATATACTGTCTTATTGATTCACCATCTTTTGCTTTTCCTAGCTACACTATACAATTCATTCTCTATGAATATTGATAAAGGGTTTCTGTTTTTGTTTTACTAATGCAGAGGAGGTCAGTATTCTGCCAGTAAAATTGTGCCATTTTTATTATAGGGACTTCTCTTGTGAGCTTATCTTCTTTGTGTAGCATTACCCTACATGGCTTGACATGTATATCCAGGTGAATGATTTACCATGTAGTTACTTTCCTGTCTTAAGACCAACCACTCTGAATGTTTTGCAGTACTTCTTGCAAGCCAATCTGTTTGTAGTTCATTGTTTTCAGCAATCCAGAGGAGAATTTACTTTATGGCTTCCAGCTTCATTCTTGAGCTGTTTGTGGGAAGCTTGAATGTTTCACCAGCATTATAAAGAATGTTGTTGCTTCATGAGATGATGAATGCCCACCCAGTTGTCTATCTGTAGTATAGAAACCATCTGTGACAATGATGACAGGTGACTGCCATTAAATAAGTGCTTAAAAGCTTATTTCGCTTCACCCTCTACCCAGTCTTTGTATTTTGTGTCTTGACGGATTTGCACAGATCCTAGTGGTGAACAATTATCTCATTGGTAGCTGTAAGCAGTGTTGGTGCTTTGCGATTCTGCCGAGGCTTGTGAGCTGTAATAATGTTTAAATGGGGATGGCTGAAACACTTCTTGTGAAAAGTTTTAAACAGGTGTTTTGTATCTTCTCAGTCTTATATAGCTGTGTAGTACACATACTGATCATTGGTAGTGCATAATACAGGATGGAGTGGATAAAACTTGTAGAGCATAAGCAGATGATGTTCTTCAGTTGTGTTTTCTGCTGCAACTTTCATTGCATTGATATCTCAAATTATCATTGTGTTAATGTAACTGGTGAAGTAGAGTTGTCTTTCATAAATTATCCCCAACTTCAATGTTTCTTTCAGAGGGATGATAATGCTTACAAAGGATGGTGAAGGTTTGTCCTCATCGGCATGTATATTTCTGAGTATGCATAACATAGCAGTGACATGATTGATGACCATTCCTATGTTTTTGGACCATTTGCTTACTCTGCTAATGGATTGTTGCATCTTGCTTTCGATTTCAGCTTTGTTAGAACCTCTGATGTACATACTAATGTATCAAGTGAGAATTCACCAGCATTAATTCAGGTTCCTCTTCCACTGCAATAACCACCTAAGGTTGATGTTAGTAGTGGTTCAGTTTGATAGGCAAGCCTTCTAGCTCTAAAGCCTTTTCTGGAATCTTGACAATGATGTTTTGTAGGATGGTGATTCAATGGTCTTTAAGATGAGTGGTCCTTCATGGGGTTGAGTAAGGATTTGATAAAGGCATCATTTCATATTTCAGGTATGCACAGCTATGTTGATGCTTGAACACTAACTTTAACAGATTGACTTACATAAGTTCCTTAAAGGTGGTGTTTTTATACCATCTGTATGTGGAGCTCCACATTTAAATGTACTTATGGCTCCGTGTATCACGTCCAAGCTAAAAATGGCTTTATTATATATGTAGCTCAAATAATGATTGCTATAACTCGAGTGCTTACCTGCATGTCACTTGGTGACCATGGTCACCCTGGTTAATTATCTGCACATGAATTCCTTGCTTTGATCTTCCTCTGTATGAAGCAAGGTACTTTATCATTGAAATGCCTGACATCACCAAGCTACAAACTTGTGAAAGTGCCACATTCCATTTCATGTCTTGTGCTTTGGAAGCTGATCACCAGTAGAGTGTAAAGGCTCTATTCTGTGCAGTTCTTGCCTCATCTACCCAGGCTGGATCATGGCTTATTTGCATGAACTGACATGATTACATGCTTTTCAGGATTTATCAGTATCACTGTTCCACCAGTATGGAGTATTTTTGTTTTTATTGATGGTGGAAAGATGTTAGGAGTACAAGTGCTGCCAGGAAGCTTAGTATCTATGTGTAGGTGTACCTCATATATGATCTATCACTACTGACATTATTTTCTATGCCATGTAGAGATGACACTTAAGGTGGGGTTAGCTGAGGCAGAGTTTTTACAAGAGTCTCTGGCACATTGTTGCTCAGAAATTCTTGTTGTTTCATCCAAGGTTAGCAGTATAAGGTGGATTATTATACTGTGGAGAGCAGAATGTAAACCTTTGCCAAGTATGTTTTTACATGCATCCCAGATGGGGTATCTTATATTGAAGTTTCCTACTCTAGATACATCGGAGTGTTTTCAGAACCATTGAAAAGTAAAATACTCTTAAAACCAGACAATATTCTAAGTCCCAGTCTTTTTTTTTGTTCTATTATTCAATGTATAGGTAAACCCTGAAAATCTGAATTTTATTTTGGAAACTGGACAAGTTTCAGAAATTGTTGCGTTTCAACATATATTTAACCCTGAAAACCAGACAATCTCCCTCTTGACCAATGTTTTAACAATAACTTGGTAATTCAACTATGGCTTGATGTCCTGTGACAATGTTAATCCCAAACACTATGTGGGCTTGGCCAATTTGACGATTTATTTAAATATATCCTTTTGAAATTAAGCAATTAAAATTTGATTTATTAGATACATTTTTATGCCAAGTTTCAGGACATGCATTGATAATGAAGTAGTTCAATTAAATTTTGAATGTAACTCTGTAAAAAGGTCACAACATACTAATTTTAACCTTCCTGTATCGAGAGAGTTAATTAATCAATGTGTAAGGTAAGGTACTGATGATTTTGTAAAACAAAATTTGGAGTTTATTTTTTACAGTAGATTGATCTCTTTGTTTAATATGTAGCTTTTAAATTTTTATTAAACAATCAGTTCACTTTGAGCTATTGAAATGCCATAGAACTGTCTTTAGAAGGACATTACTGTATTAATGATGATGGGAATAAAGTTGGTCAAAATTTTTGTATGTTTTCTTCTAAACTAAGTGTGTCATAATTAATATACTTGAATAGTTGCTTATCGAAATAAAATTAAAAGGTATTATTTTATATGATTAAAAATAGGTTAGATAATCCACAAAATTTAAGCACTTTAGGTACAGTTACACATTTTTTCAACAACTTATATTTCATTATAGTGGAAAATTTCTTCTAAACTAAAAACTCTTCCAAAACAAACCTGTTTCCTTGTCTGGAAGAAGTTCAGTTTAGAGGGGTTTTACTGTATTGGTGATTCAGATGTGTGTGTGTGTGTGTGTGTTTGTAACTTCAGGTATGCTATCTGGATGTTTTGTAATACCTTGCAGTGGATATTGTTCTACTGAAAATTGTCCTAATATTCATAGCAGATAGCTAAATAGTGTATAGAAACTATAAGTTAAGAAAACTGCTTTTAGCAATGAAAATGATTATATTTCTTCTTCAGTTAACCATCACTTTTATTTTTACTCACAGTTGATAGTTTGTACTGTTTCTGTTTCTATTGATATGTTTTTCTTCTTCACTTATTAAATTTAAACATAAATTTAAATAGTCTCGTCATCTCGCATCACTGTTTGCTTCATCCGACTTGAAGATGGTATTTTAACTGTTCTCTACCAAAATGTGTAAGTTAACTATTCCCTTTACATAAATATGTGATCAGTGCTATATTATGTGTATAAAATTTTTTGCATAGTTTAGTCATTTTGCCAAAATCCATAGAACCATCTGTTTATGAATTGAATTTCTCCACACACACTGAATTGCATGAATTGTGAATTTAAGTTTTGAACTGACAGTTTTCTGCTGTTTCGGGGATGTCTTGCATTTGTCAAATCCGTTCTCTTGCTTAGAACTTTTTATTGCTTTCAGCACTAAAACCTATTCAGCTTAACACTTTCACAGTGGCTGAGACATATATTTCTCAGTGCACTGGGAAATGTATGTCCCAGTTGCAGTGAATTGGTTAAATAAAGTTACTTTTTTCTTGCTCGAAACTTCTATTTTTTCCTGCATGTCTGATTGGGTAGAAAGAACACCTGGATGTCAGGTAGTGGTGTTGTCTTTCTTTCTAGCAGCTGTTCTTCTGTTTTGACTTGAATTATAGACTATGAAAAAAATTTAAAACATTTTTTTAAAGACTGTGATCAAATCTCTAAGATTTAATGATGAGGTTTATTTTCAGGTATTTTAGGTTAGTTAACAAATGTTTACCTATGTTATAAAACATATACATTTAAATATTATTAACAATTTCCATTGTTTAGAGTTACAACATGAATCCAAATGTTTTGCTTTTTGATAAATTATAAGACCTTTAATTAGCCATGGTTTCAAACTATGTGTTGATCATACATTTAAAACTTATTAACCAAAACAGAACTGTAAAAATATTAAAACGATTTTACGTTAAATGGCTTGCTTCACACATAAAAAGGTGAGAGATTAATAATAATAATTAGTGACAATTATAGTAATGTAGCAAAGTTAAAAAAAAAACCTACAAAACCCTTGTTTATATTTTGGTTTTCAGTAAAAATTAACTGCCCCCCCCTTATTGAAATATAACATTTCAATCCTGTTTGTATTGTAATACCCAAAGGTTTTCTTAATATGTAAGATAATCCATGGGTCAGGAAACATAATGTAATCAAATAGTTAATGACTCTTTTTACATTTTAAAACATTATCACAAGGTGTGAAACCTTTGTTAAATGAGTAAATGAAGTAACTGAGCTAATACTTAATTGAATAATATAATAATAAATAATCAACTTGATATGTAGTTGGATATATATTAAACACCCTTTATGAAAATAGCACAAAAGAGTGTAATTTGATAAAAATAGACTTGTTATATATCTAAAACGTACATACATATATTAACATAGTCCAAAATTTTGTATTTAATAGCCAAACTTACCTAAGAAGTGGAGTTTTAAATATATTTAGGTAATTAATCCTTAGAAAAAAAAGTGTTCAAGATTCTAGTTTTCACGGAAATATATTTCAAATCAGGTAGAATTACCTTTGACATACTGTAAACCTTTTCCTGTTGGGCCATTCTCCCTTTCTTGACAGCCATATGACTTCTGTCTGTCAAGTGTTCTTGAGGCAATGCATTACATGTGGCAACTTACATAGAGTTCTTCACTCTCTTCCATAGGATTTATTTGATAAGTGTCAGAAGAAACTACATAAGCTCTGCTGCCCATCATGAGTCGGTTTGTCGTTCTGTAATCTTCATGTCTTCATGTGCATGCTACTGAATTTGGAAGTCAGTGTTAACCCTGAAGTTAGATATAGTGTGGTTGAGATATTGTTATAAATTCTTCTTTACTCTCACTTTTAAGCTTCAGTCTTCTCCCGTTGCTGCTTGATCTGCTCTGGGAACAATAAGATTCGCTTGATGGTTTGCTAGTTCCTCTGAATGATGAGTGAAATTAATTCAAGTAAATATGAATAATAAGAAATAATTAAATAAACAATATTGTGTTATTACTCCTAACGCTAATTCTGATTTGTAAATGACTGATATAAAATTGGTAAAAATTACACTTTGACAACTTAATCTAGAGTTCACACAATAGCAGTTGTTCGTGCAGTTTGATAATATATACAGCATCGTGACTACTACTGTGTCTGTCCTATTCCAGCTGGCCTGATGAGTCGTGGTATTGGGTAAAAGGCATCATCAGCACCGAATATGGCATATATAGTGTGGATGATGTATTACCGTATAGGCCAAACTATAGGGCAATCTCAAATATAAGGCAAACCCCATTTTCAGAAAACATGGGAAAGAAAAAACTGAGTGTCATAACATCTTTTTTTAGGTCTGCAAAATCAAGACTGTAACAGAACACATTGCACGTAGATTAGTTGCAAGAATTAGTGATGAACTTGAGTGAACATCTGGCTTGCATGCCTAAATGGATGCTATCTGGACATTCAGGAATGTGATAGGCTAAAGTAGGGAGAATGGACCTGTGGTTGGCCATGATCATAAGGCAACTATGAATTTTACAGCCTAATTATTAATAAAAAACATCACCTTATAATTGGGCCAATACAGTGTTATACATTTTTCTTTATCTTCACTGACAAGTTCCCATAATTACTCATTGCTTCTTTCAAATTCTCTGGAGGCTTTGTTTACATAATCTTCTTCTGGTGTTCAGGGAGATCTTTTGACTGCATTTTCACTTCTTATTCATCAATGTATAAGGGCAGTTAATGCCAAAATCGTCTGTTGGTGTCCCATTAGGGTTTCTCATTCATTTGGATTTTCAATTTGTGGGACATCTGCTTTTTTTTTATCACATTGGTGAACAAGCTTGATCTTTTTCTTTGGTTATTCATCTTCTTTTATTGAGGATTTTGTCTGCTAGATTTAATCATGAGGAAACTTCTTCTGAACTTATTTAACTTTTTTTTATTGGGTCTGCACTATTTCAAATCTCTATCAAATTTCTGTTTTACTTGAGCATGTTAGTGTTATGAGAGATGATTCTGACTAGGCTTCTGAAACGCATTCCTACCTGACTCCCCCAACAATTGCAAACCAGGAAACCTGGATTGTGGCGAGAAAGCGGGGCACTTGTATTGTAAGTCATGTGGAAGAGTGGAGAACTTTGGACAAAGTGATGCATTGTGTCAAGGACTTTGAGAACTATAAATGACATGTTTATTGACACAATGAAAACCACTTAACAAGAAAAGGCTTACAGCATTACAGAGGTAAGTACTGGTTTGAAATTAATTGTAATTCTAAAAATAAAAAATTTTGTCTTTGAACTTCAAGTTTTTGTGTCTTTATTTTATGGAGAATATGATCTATCTATTATTTTTATCTAAAGTGCTTAAAACTTCAACCTTCAGCACATGTACAACATTGCAGAAAATGCAGTTTTAGGAATTTTAGTGTCTCTTGTGTGAAAAATTAACCTTTGTACAAACAAAAATATTTTTTATAAACTGACATTAGCACATAAGTCATAGGGTTTGTATATGTATCATAAGTTTATATTTTCAGGTATAAAAACTAAAGCCGTTAGAGATGGTGATGACTTAATTATCAATGGAGGTAAAATGTGGATCACCAATGGTTGTCAGGCAGACTGGATGTGTTTGCTAGCAAACACTAGAGAAGGACCTTCACACAAGAATAAATCTTTGATTTGTATTCCTATGAAAACTCCTGGTGAGATAATTTTATTTTGCAGGATTGAATGACACACAGTTAAGTTATTAGAAGAATTGAGATGATAGCAGAGAAATATGAATCATTTTTTTTGTAGTTTTACAGTTTATCAAAGGAATATTTAAGGCATGCATAAATAATCTTGTAACATTAATTCATTAACAGCTAAAAAAATTAATGACTGTTATTTGTTTCAAAATTAGTACAGCATGTTTCATAGTGGTTTAAATTGATGGCCAGTTTTTTTTTTTTTATATATGGTGAAAAAGAATAATGGAAAGTCCAGTACTCTTAAAGATATCAAAAATGTTTTATTTTTTCCAGTTCACACTACACATTTAGTGTAACTGATAGTCTAACTTCACAAATATTTAAAATTCCTCTTACTAATACTTCTTTCTCTCTACAAAACAAACTCCATGTTCACAGTACTGGTTTGCACTGACAGACAATCTAAGTAAATCATGCACTGATTTCTCATTAATTGACTAACAGACTTACCAACTCATTTCACCTAATTATTTTTTATATATGGCCCAAACTGTTTTTCAATCCTTCCAGACAGTAAGGACGGTAACACCCATCACATTGCTTTAAACTTCCTTGTAGCTAAACATTACAAGTTTCTAGATATGTATGAATTAAAAATCATAGGTTACAACAATACATTATAGGAATGATGTCTATTGCGTTGCTGTTCATAATATTTGATGCAGGACTGTAGATCCGAGGTCACCACCCAAAAAGCAAAAAACGTTCCACACTTTGGAGCTCTACGTACATTATACGAATGATTCAACTCCCATTATTCAGTTAGAATAGACCATGAGTTGGCAGTAGTATTGTTGACTAGCTTCAAGGAAGCTATGTATTCTATCTCTTCAAAATTAGGGGACAGCTAGTGCAAATAATGGTCAAGTAACTTTGCAGGAAAATCAACAAATAATAACAGTAATATTTGAACAGCAACAAAGAAATCATATTGTATAGTGTTTCAAAACAGAGAGAGTAAAACAAAGTTTTTTTACTTATCAGTGATAATGTTTTGTTGAAACTGTTATATAATAAAACCTTGTTTCAACTCTAGAATTATCAGTGAAGTCCTAAACTATTTAGGCACCAAATGGCTTGTGGTCCAAGGCTTGGTTTACCACAGGGTTTTTAAAAAACTGCGAGCCACACAGAAATATGTAAACAAAACTATCATCATTATTACAGTTAATCCCATTAACTACAGCTGGGGTTCTTATGTATCTTACTTAAAAATAGCATTGATTTCACCCAAGCTTTTGAGCAGTTCTTTACACTGAGTTTTGTAACGAACAAGAACATGAAATTACTTCTTATGATCCAACATGTGGACCCTTACTGCTAGTGCGTGATATAAAAACAAGTTAGTAATTTGAGGAGGGTAGGTGTGACATAAAACTGTCAAAATTATTCAAGTAACTTAATATGTGTTACAACATGGAATTTTCAAGATACTTTGAAAATAATACAGTAAAAATATTTAATCTGACATTTGAAAATTAGATTACGTAAGCAAAGTTTATTGTGTTTTACTGATCAGTAAAAAAGTGAATATATATAGTTTTATTTAATTTGTGTTACTAAGGCATGAATGTATATACCAGCAAAGTTTATAGTGTTTTACTGATTAGTAAAAAAGGGAATATATATAGTTTTATTTAATTTGTGTTACAAAGGCATGAATGTATATACCAGCTGTTCGTAAAGAAGTATATAAATGAAAGAAAATATTTTTTTCTGTCAGAATTACATATGATTGATTCATACTATCAGTACAAAATAAAATTCAACCCTAAAATTCATTAATTATGAAATAAGAAAAATAGTACAGAAGTTTGGAGTACGAAGCCATATTTTGATGTTATGCTAAGTGAATCCTGATTCTAAACATAGTTCTATGTTTTTTTTTTAAAATTTGATTGAATATTCCAAGATATATATCATTATACCACTGTTTCCTAGTGCTTTGTGGTAGTGTTTTACTTGAAGTGTAAAAATTAAACTCAGATTTTAAACTTGTGTTATATTAATCATGGGATCATCTATAGCATGACTTAGAAAAGTATGCACTGTGTGTAGCATTCTGAACTATTCATAGGTTTGGATTAGGGGAAAAAAATCATTATTCAGGTTTTTGGATAAGTAGAAAATTCCTTAAATGCTTTAACTGGATGAAACTAAGAAACAATGTGATATTCTTCATTATGCATGCCCAAAAACTCATTCAGTATATTGCCTGAAAAACATACATTTTCCTGAAAGTCTGTTAGAGGTTGTAAAAATGAGTGGAGCTCTGACTGTTTTGTTAGCCATTTGTAAAGTGGCAGTTGTTTTTAATGATAATTTTACCTATAGCATTTAAAAAAATCATAAAGGGATGACAATGGCAATAGTTTAGTTTTGGAGATATTGTCCTACTACTGATGGTCATAGTTTTTATAATAGCTTCAAGAATAAATATGTGAAACAGTTTGAAAATCCATTTATAATTTTATGAAGAGATTAAAAATATATAAATAAAACTATAAATTAAGAAATCGTAAATATCATATATTAGTAAGGAATAAGGTAAATGTGTGCTAACAATAAAGAGACTGAGCTACATGTATTACTAAATGATTATAAATTATTTATGTTAGAATTAAAGGAGTAAAACAAGTTAGAAGAAGATTTGTTCTTGTAGAGTCGACTTGTGCTATTAATAAAATGAGGAAAGATAAGTTGCTCATTTCTGATGGTTTTTACAGGGGAATATTTTTAAGGACGTAGAGAAATTTTTTATTGTTAGAGCATTAAGTGTCAGATCTAGAGATAAAATAATAACCATTTAGAGAAGGTGTTATTACATGAATTCTAAAAGGTAATAAACCTAGATTTTTTTTATAGCAATAACTCTTGAATGCAGTATGTACAATTGAATCTTGATGTTTTGCTGAAAGGGTGAAAAAAAAAAGTCCTCAAAAGGATTTAATTTGAGGGCAGTACCTCAGAGAAAATATTTGTAAAGTGATTTATTTAGTTTAACTAAAAGTATTAACATATGTTTAGTTGACTTTGGACATCTTTTGACTTTGTTGTATAGAAGTAGAGCTGGGTGATTAGTGGTATTTGCTAATCAGTTTATCAATAGACACATTAATTGATTACATTCACTGTATTGCTGCTCTCAAACTATGATATGTAAAAGCAAAAGAAAAAAAGAAAAACATTGGGGAGCAGGGGCTGCCATCCCTCTAGTCAGCGGCTTAGAATTAGGGACAGTAGAAGATAGCCTTTGTAGCTTTGCCACAGCAGAGGCAGAGCAAGTACGCTTGGTGGAAATGGATAGGAATTGAACACATGAACCTCCTCTGCCCATGAATCACTAATGCTGAACAGACTTGAAGTAGAAAAACAATAACTTATAAGGCTAAAATTTGTCAGAGTATGTATAGCTCATTATGTAGCTTTGTGCTTAACAACCAATTATTTGGACATTTGGTATTTACATTGATATTTCCTTTTAAATTAAGAAATCAAAACTTAGCTGATATGAAAATTTGAATTCCTTTATACCCCACTGTATTGCCCATAGCAAGTTAAACCTTGTGATTTTTTCCACTTACTCCAGTGCTCCCCATATTTCAGATCCATATATGAGCTCCCCGTTATTACTTCCTATTCACTTTTTCTTGACAGCAGAACATTATGATGACAGTTTTACATGCTTGCTGTGGGTTTCTCTTCAGTGTTGAATAGCTTTAGTTATACCTATGCATTTGATGATTTCTTTTGTTTGTTTTTTTTAGACCTGTCTTATTTGGTCTTAAGTTTGTTGTCTGTTTTCTTTATTTTACATAAAAAAAAAATTCTGAGATGTTTTCAGATATGAATTCACAAATTCATGTATCATGTTGTCTAGTTCTCCTAATTTGCCATCTCTGGAGTTTAACGTTACCCAGTCATTGGGTGTTTTTCAATTCCCATCTCATTTGGGCCCAACCTTCTCTTCTACACCTTCAGGCCATAGAATGGGCCATTTTTCTAATACACTTTTCTTTTTCAACTGAGTGTGCAATTCTATCTCTTTTGGAGATGTGAGCATCCTTGGAATCACTCATTCTTCAGTGGTCATTATGAGACCAATGGAATATTTGCACAGATGTGCTAGATTGTCCAGTGACCCTATTGGCTTTCAGTCTGCTTAATCTTAGCTGGTGGTTGAACAGGGACAACACAACAGTAGGTGCCCATCTCTCACCCCCCATGTCTGGATTTACATCTTTCCACAGATGCTTTTCTTCAGGTCTGGGGCACTTGTATAGGGGATATGGAATTCAAAGGCCTCTGGACAGAAGAGGAATCTTCTCTCCACATCAATCTCTTAGTGTTTCTAACATTTCAACAAGCTATGTCTCAGGGTCTCGCACTGTTGTGAGGGAAGGTGGTAATGCTTCACTCAAACAATTCCCCTCCAGGTTTCTTTGTTTTCAAACATTGGATCTTCTCTTTTCAGCCCAAAGTCATGAAATTGTTTTCCTTGCTTGTCATGTTCCAGGTGCAATGAATTTAGTGGTCAATCAGTTATCTTGTCCCAACAGATTTCATCCCACAGAATAGGTACTTTGTCAACAAGTTTTTCATTGGATCTGCTCTTGCCTCGGGACGCCTCAGATCGATGCTTTCGTCACACGCTGGAATGCCAAGCTTCTGTCCTTCTGGTCTTCTGTACACACCCTCTAGCTTTTGGGCATAGATGCTCTCAGCCAGGATTGGACAGGTCTTCATCTTTATGAGTTCCCTCCAATTCTTCTGTTGTCCAAAGTTCTTGCACTGATTTGCTCCTCATCCTGTTGTGTTCTTCTGATAGTTCTGTATTGGCTGGCTCTGCCTTGGTTTCCACTCCTTCACTATCTTCAGGAGTGTCAACCTCTTCTGCTCCCTTTCTGGCCATCTCTCTTATGTCAGCCTTGCTTTTCCTCCCCATGATGGCCAATGTTCAGGTCTGCTAATTTGGACAGTCTCAAAAAAGTGAATGGGAAGTAATAATAAAAGGGAGCTTATATACAGATCTGGGATTGGGGGTGCATTGATGTAGGTAGAGAAAATCACAAGATTTAATTTGCTGTGGGCAATATAGTGGGGGTATAAAGGCTGGAGCAAGGGAGGAAAGATTCATACTAATGCTTAGATGGGCACATAAGAGTAACTTTTGATCAAGCTCTAGTGTGAGAGGAGGTAGATATTATCAGAAACACATTTAGAGTACAGGTGAATTTTAACTTATATACTTTGTTTTGATGCCACTTTATTGACATACTTTGACATTAAAGCTGCTTAATTAAATTCTGAATGTAACTGTAAAAGGTAGTGAAGTTAACCTTGACTAGAACCGTAGTGGATAAGGTTAACAGAGGTCTTATACTGACTTTGAATGTAACTGTAAAAGGTAGTGAAGTTAACTTTGACTAGAACCCCAGTGGATAAGGTAAACAGAGGTCTTATACTGACTTCGAATGTAACTGTAAAAGGTAGTGAAGTTAACTTTGACTAGGACCCCAGTGGATAAAGTTAACAGAGGTCTTATACTGACTTTGAATGTAACTGTAAAAGGTAGTGAAGCACATTTTGACTAGGACCCCAGTGGATAAGGTTAACAGAGGTCTTATACTGATTTTCAGAGATGTATTATCTCTTACTTAGCTTTATTAATATATTTATCACTATCATTATGCATATTATCAATATTTATAATTCATCATTAGATAAATCAGGCTAAGTGGTATCATACAAAACTACCATAATATCTTGTTTATCATATTTTATCACTTATTAAAATGATTTGGAAAACATAATTAACCACTAAAGTCAGAAAATAATTTGCAGATAGGAGATGCTCACTTTTGTCTTATGTTAAGAGAGATTTTATTAAATTTCTTGTTATTGCAAAAATTAAGGATTTATTTCTTGCTCTTCCTAATCCTTTAGCAGAGTAAATAGAAAATGTGAAATGTTACTATGTAATATTATATTAATGGTAAATCAGCCAAACTTTGCCAAAAAATTTATATTATCAAAGAATTTGCACGAAAAAAACAAGGAGTTAGAAGGTGTTTAGACCACTGAGGTTATCTTAAGATCTCACTCCTTTCCCTTAAACCGTTAATGTAGCATTTTAGGAATATTGAAAGCTGTTATACTTCGCAGACTGGCATATGTAGTTAAACAGTTATGAATAAGAAAAAGTCTTACATTGATTCAATTCATTCTTTCCATTTGATGAACTGAGGAACCCACTACGCATACATAATACTATATCAAGACAAAATAAAAATAACCACAAATGATAAATCCCATTTCACCAAAGTGGAAACTGGATTGTTCCTTATTTCTTTTATTCATTGCATGTATTTAGCAGTAACAATAATTTAAGTAACACAATATTAAATCTAGTGATCAGATTTCTGGTTTAACTGTTTAATGAGTTTACAGTAATTATTTTTTCACATTTGCATTATGTAGAGGAATTTGGAATTGTTAATTATAATATTTTAAAATAATAAGATGATCACACTATATTTGGTACCTAGAAAAACATCTTTAGTGTTTGATAATACAAAAAATAGTATCAGTGTCGATCAGATTTTCAGAATTTATTTTTTTATTTTAACATTGCAGGAGTTCACATATCCAAGAAGATAAACAAAATTGGAATGCATTCCTCTGATACAGCACAGATCTTTTTTGAGGATGTACGTGTACCTGTCAGAAACATCATTGGTGAAGAAGGCATGGGGTTTATGTATCAGATGCTACAATTTCAGGAAGAAAGACTTGCTGGATCTATCATAGGTAGAATTTAGTACGGGTAGCTCAGACTGTTACTAGACTACATTGTTAACCATTGCTAAAAAAAAAAAAAAACAGTAATTTATCAAATGTATTGTTTTTAGTTTCTCTTACATCAGTTGCAAAAATTAAACAGAGTAAGTATTTCTATAGTGCATACTACTTGGTTTTTCTAAGTTTTATTTGCAGTAACATCTCAGTGAAGAAAAAAAAAACGAAAAGCATGCTTAGAATTGTAAAGAAATAGGATAAGCAGAGCTAAGTTGATTCAAAGCTGACTTTGGACAATCATAAAATATTTGTGAAACTTCATTCTCAGCTGGTAAGTTAACAGGGACCTATAAGCATTCTGGATAGCTAGTATCTAGCATGCTATATCAGGAGTAAGAGTGATTTTTTTCTTATACTAGCTGTGCATTCAACATATTCCTTTTGTCAGTAAGATCTATGAAATTGTAAACATGTTTATGCTTACTTTTGGGAACATGCTTAGGCATATTATATCTTCAAATTCAGTTTAGAAGTATTTGAATACATATGTTCAAAACTGGAATTAAAATATACAGGAAAATAAAAAATATTGTCTTTTATGATAGTAAACTCAAAATCCTTTGTTCGTAAGTTAGCTAAATTATGGCTTATTTTTTATCCAGTGTTTATACACATACTTAATTCCACTAAGAACTTGTCCCATCTAGGTTTCACTGCTTTGTTTTTGAGGTATGTGGTTTTGCTCTTGCTCCTTTGCTTGAGGTGCATTTTTTGAGAACCTTTAGTTTACCACATGTTAATGTTTTCCAACTAGTTTGTTGCTTATCACGTAACTTTACAGTTATTATATTTAAAAACAGTCTACAGTTCAACAACTAGGTTCCACTTGCAAAATGCTACAAAAATAATTTATTTATTGGCTCCAAAGGACACCATGCTAGTAATAGAATGTGTTTATAGTGTGATATATAACTTCCATTACAAAAGTGAAGCTGTGGAGTACAGCTAGTTCCTGAAAAAATTTAATGAAAGAGTAGTTGTATCTTTGAAAGTATATACTGAAAACAAATTACACAACATATCTAAGGAAGGCAGTTGAATCTCATATACAAGGGTGCCTGCAGAAAAAAAATTAGGGGGGTCAAGTAACTCAATTTTGAAAAAATTATGAAATCAAAATACAAATACTTTATGATTTTCCAATAACATAGAAGAATAATTTTACATATCTCGTAACTTTTTTCCTGCTGTTGCCCATGCTCTTATATATATCTATGATTGTGTTTCTCATTGGATGTTAAATAACTGAAAGTTAAAATTATACAATTGTTCTTATAAAGTATTGCTGTAAATATAAAATTCAGGAGACATAGTCCTAGTGCATAATATTTAATATGATTAAGATACAAACATTAGGTACTGGAATTAATGACAACTTTCAAGAATGAATAAATAAAGTCATTTTATACAGCAAACTAAAACTTATCAAAATTCACTCACCTGCAGTCTTATAATATGAAGTACTGAGTTTTAAAATTACACAAGCTACATAAGTAAAGCTTCATACCTTTCCCCCAATTTGAATATGCTTATTAAACATTGTAATTTCAGGTTGCACTTTAAATTGGTAGCAGGAAATACATTGAAAGTTTGACATATCAGCTACAATAAAAAAGTGTTTAATGTGTTTAGTAGAACTAGGTAATTAATCAATATAATCAATTATTGCAAGTTTTCAGCAAAACTTAGCTCTTTACCTCTCCACCCACCCCACTGTTGAAATATAACATTTGTTAGAGCAGCTGCATTATTTGCTGAACATGTTGAAGCCCTGGTCTGCTCAGTTTCAAAGTTGTAGTCCTATTAAACTATTCTGGGCTGTTTCTTTAAACCAAATTTCAGTACTGCTTTTCTGCTTCAATAGGAGATAGTTCCTATTGCGAAATTGTGTAATATTCTTATCTTATTCTTACAATATATTACAGCTTTATTACCAAGATAAATTGATAAGTGCCTAGAAGGTTTGTGCTGGCTTCCTTCAGGAGTTTAAACGAACAACAAAAACTGTTAGTGTATATTTGGATTTCAAAGAAAGTAAAGTATACATGGATAACCAAAAGATGTAAAAATCTACTAGTCAAATAGCTGGGACTAAAAGTGTTTTGTGTGGGTTACCGTAAATACCATGTGTCCTAACCTGGGACTAATGAAGTTCTGCTTGTATGCAATGTATGTATGTGTGTAAAATCCAACTGTATATTCAGTTAGTAAAATTTGCAAAAAAACTACCAGTTATTTTTTCAAATGGTGAAATACCTATTCTCACTGAAATATTTGAAAGATCAATTGGCTGTTTATTAACAATAGACTAATCCATCATAAGAATTATATACAAACATGCATGTGTAACTCAGTTGCACGCTTATGAATTAAAATGTGTAATTACTTTCTAATCTATATTTTACTTGCGAAGGGGTGGATTAGAATAGTTATTTTTAAAGCAAAATTTTATTTAGATTAGATTAAACAGCAGTATTTGACTAAATCAACTTGTTCTTCCCACTCAGGACTTCATGGCCTTTGTCCCAGCAAGACATTCCAAATGTTGGAGCTCTGTGTGATTTTTTTGATTTCATCATATATGTAGAACAGATTTTAAATTTTTACACGTTCTGAATTTAATCATTTATAATATGCCAGAAAGAGCTCTATCACATATGTACACTGGTTAACCTGCCCATAGATGGTAAGTCTGTATCATCTATGCTGTAGTAAATAATCTTATCTATATATATATATATATATATATATAAAAGCACAAAAAGTCTGTCTGTCTGTATGTTATCTTATCACTTTTAGGTTGCTGGGCCAATCTCAACCAAACTTTGTGGGATGATAATTTGGAAAAGGGGGCATGTCATTATAGTGAAAAAAAAAAGTTGCACTACTAGACTTTTTGGTTCCACTAGTACATTTTTCATGCTGACTAGTATGTAATTACTTCCCTGAATTAACCTCCTTCAGGGGATCCACTCATTAGGAACAGGAATCTACAATGAAGGGGGTCATTAGATGTTCTTTTGTATATACTTTTAGAATGTTTTATTCTTAGAAAGTAAAATTCAAGAAGTTTTCAGCAATACTAAATAACATTTAATATTTTTACTATCCAGCTATGATGGTAAGAACATAAAGAGGGATGGGGTTTTACATTATTATAAAGCTATTTCTTTGAAATATATTTTACTCCCATCTCTGTATTATGTGCAAGATTATTCATTGCTACTATAGGAGTAAGAAGATTAATACTGCTGATGTATTTTAATAACCAGACAAAGCAGACAAAGAAATGTCATCAACATAACTTTGTCTGATCTATAATTTAAACATTTATAAAACTTTTTGTGATGAAACTGAACTATTAGGAAGCTTCAAATGTCTTGTTTTCTGTAGAATATTTCACACACATACACACACACACACATATATATATATATATATA